CAGTCCAGGTATTTCAATTATTTATCCGGGTAAATAATTCAACTAATTTCTCAGATGCCAAGAAAAATACTCGGGTACACCCCTCCCTACCTGGGTAGGCAAAAAATTTCAAAAATACCCGGGTAGGGAGGGGTGTACCCGGGTAGGCTTGGTAGTCAACAGTCAAACAGGGGCAGATTGGTGTTATATTTTTTTGAGGGAGTTAAATTTTTGAAATAGTTTAGAATGAAGGTCAATTTGGTAATTAATTATTAATAAAAAGTTATTAGAGTCAAAAAGCCCTAATAAAACCCATAAAAAAATACATTTTTAGTGTTGTATAAAATAAAAAATTTATGCACATACAAAAAGTTAAATAGGATTCATTATATCATTTATATTTGAATTGTTTTCATGAACCATTATCTTAATTATATTATAATAAAGTTTCATATTGATTGATAATAAATGAAGTAAAATGCATATAAATGAAAAAAATTCTTTATTGCAATATATTAAGATTTTGTCTAGAGATATAATATTAATTTTATTTATTATTTGACTGTTGTCTCAATTTTTTTTATTTTTTGCACCTAAATTATTAATTATAATATTCTAAATAATAGTTATTATATAATGTTCAAGATCCTAAATAATATAAATATTATTATTTTAAAAAATAATATTAAATTTATTTAAAATAATAATAATTAACCTAGTGAATGATTTTTAAGTATGATTTGATGGGTTTTTGACCACTATAGCCTTTTTTTAATAATTAATTACCAAATTGACCCTATTTATAAACTATTTCAAAAATTTAACCTCTCCAGAAAACATAACACCAATCTGCCCCTGTTTGACCGTTGACCATGAAGCCTACCCGGGTACACCCCTACCTACCCGGGTAAATTTTAAAATTTTTTACCTACCCAGGAACACCCCTCCCTACCCGGGTATATTTCTTGAATCTGGAAAATGTTTGAATTATTTACCCGGGTAGGGAGGGGTGTACCCGGGTAAATAATCATAAACTGGTTGTGTGCACCCATCCTCTTTGTGTGAACAGCAAATGAAAATCTCTAGATTGAAGGACTAACGCATGGAGAACAAAATCTGAAAACAGGTTATTGATGAAAGATATTCCACTGGATCATATGCCTGAGATTAGTGAAGCAAATAATCAAGGTTCTGCTCCAACAAAGGATGCTATTACATGTCACTAGTCAGACAATTCAAAAAAATGTTCAGAATTAGAGGTGAAGGAATTGGGCGTTGACAAGCTTGAGTTGTGGAAAACTGTAAAAGAGACAACTGAAGATGGCAAGAGGAAGATGTTGGAGAGGGTTGTCTCAGATGCTCAGAAATTGGCCATTCTTAAAATGACTCTGCAAGGTTTGAAAAAGAAACCAGAAACAAAGAAGAAAAGCAAGAAGAGAAAAGCATGAGTTATGATTATTTACCCGGGTACACCCCTCTCTACCCGGGTAAATAATTCAAACATTTTCCAGATTCAAGAAATATACCCGGGTAGGGAGGGGTGTACCCGGGTAGGTAAAATTTTTTAAAATTTACCCGGGTAGGTAGGGGTGTACCCGGGTAGGCTTCATGGTCAACGGTCAAACAGGGGCAGATTGGTGTTATGTTTTCTGGAGAGGTTAAATTTTTGAAATAGTTTATAAATAGGGTCAATTTGGTAATTAATTATTAAAAAAAGGCTATAGTGGTCAAAAAGCCATGATTTGATATTTTATTTAGTTTTTAACTTTTATTGGAATAATTCAAATATTTATATATTTTTGATAATTTTCATAATTTTTCACGAATAACGAAGGACACACATTAAGAATCTAGGATGTGTTTGGTCGGGGAAAAATGTTGAGATAGATGGGTAAGTGAGAAGTGGGATAATTGGGTGCCTTTGTTTGGTTTAGGAATTCTGAATATTTTGCTACCTAAATGAGATTGCCACAGAAACAACTTGGACGTCTATCTGAATGAGAAAGCAGGCTAAAGTATCCCTCTTGATATATGGTATTGTATGTTAGCTAGGTAAATGGTGACATTGGGCAAGAGAGCTAATGACGAGCGTACCCCATCTGTTAGTGCGCGAATGTTTTGGGACAGTTCAACGTAAAAATCAAATTCCTGCTGCAATTCACAATCAAAACCCGAACCTCTTAAATTGTCAAGGTGAAAAAGTCTACTCCAATGGATTACATTCAAACAAAAAACAAAAAAAAAGATAAATTCTGGTTCTGAGAACAAAGCCAATCTGGTTTACTGGTTCAAGACAACCAAGGACATGTAGGGGAGATTAGTGAAACAATGAAACCAATGAAGGTGGGTGCTATTGTTCCCAAACTTTGTTGTCTTGTCTTCGGCTCCTGTGGAAGGACACGGTGTACACAGTTGTAACTAGAAATGCTTGTAATATAACATGATTTTTCTGTTGTAAGAAATACCTGTTGCAAGTTACAGGTTAAACAAGCAAGTTTTCTAGCTTAACTCCAAAGAAGAAGAAGAACGAAACCCGTAAGTTTGCACACAATACACTTTCATGATAAGGCAAGTGCACATTCCTATTTCATGTTAATGAAGCTTTAGCATGGAAAACTGGGAAGAAAGAGAAAATTGGGTGATGATGATGGAAAAAAGGGAAGAAAGAACCTTTGAATAGAGACAGAGGAAGATGAAGCCTTGATGGTGAAAGTTTTTGAGAGCTTTGTGGATGATGAACCATTACATTCTTCCAATGTTATGGTCTTTCTAGAAGAAGATGATGATTTTTGTAGCAATGGTTCCATTCGCAGATGAAGCGAACTAAAATAGTTAGACACAATGAAGGAATAGTGAGGTTCCAAACCTTTATGACCTCGCAGGTTTCTCTCTGTCAGCATAGTCTTCATTATTTTTCGCGTTTCTCTCTATTTATAATTTTTTTATTTTTTTCAAAAATTCTAAAAACAAAAATATTTTCGTAATTGTCACTTATTTCTCATCTATATTTTACCTCAAACCAAACATAGACTTTATAAATCTTACCTAATTTGCATGATAAATTTTTTTCCAACCAAATAACTTTTTTTACATTTTCCTACCAAACTCACTTTTTAACCATTTCTCTATCAATTACATTTCCCTGGTATTCAAAAAATTTCTCCTCAACCAAACGCCCCCTATTTCAAGATTGAGTCCTAGGTCCAAACGTATAACGATTACTTCTTGCGGGAATGACATGTTAAGAATGTTAGGATTAATAGTGTAGAATTCCCACATTGAGTGTGTCTCTTTGTATTCTTCAATTGGTTTGCTATATAATAACACCAATATTGTGTAGTTTAATACAACATGGATTACTATTATTTCCTCTTGTATCTATGATATTTAACATGGTATCTAGAGCCTAACAAGAGGAATCTTAATCCGTTTAACTTAGTTCTATTTTCAATAATTTCAATATGGTTATAGAGAGATATCACCCTCCTTGAGGGATTCCCGTTGCTATTTCTTTTTCGGGTTTTTCTTAGTATGCTCTGTGACTGCAGCTTAGACTGATCTGTCACATCAGAAAAGAATGATCCTTGGGAAGTTGTTGGGTTGACCACCGTTGTCGTTGACCGACCACTGTTGACCGCGTCATCCACCGTTGACAGCCGTCTCCGGCGACTTTTTCGATGACTTTCCGGCGACTTTTTCGGCGATCCACCACTGTCTCCGATGACTTTTCCGACGATCCACCGCCGTCTCCGTCGACTTTTCCGATTCTGCAAAGCTTTGTTTTTCTTTAATCTTCTTTCTTCCCAAGATGGAGTATTTATACTATTCATCATCCATCTTGAGGGGGAGCACTGTCCAAGTTGCTGATGTTGTCTCCGCTGATGTTAATTCCAACACCGAAGTTCCTCTTGAGGGGAAACACACTGTCTATGTTGCTGATGGTCATTCCAGCACAATTGTCTTTGCCGATGATAATTCAGGCACTGTTTAGAAGTTCCTCTTGAGGGGGAGCACTGTCCATGTTGATGATGGTCATTCCAGCACAATTGTCTTTGCCGATGATAATTCAGGCACAATTTAGAAGTTCCTCTTGAGGGGAGCACTGTCCATGTCGCTGATGGTCATTCCAGCACAATTGTCTTTGCCGATGATCATTCTAGCATCTTCCATGCTGATGTTTATTTCGACGCCATTTTTAGCACATTGTTAATTTTTGGTTTCTCATTTAGGAGATTTATTTTGATGTTATGTTACTTGGTCTTTCATGTATCAAGCTTGTAGCATATGATCTATATGCTACAGCTTGAGGAGAGTGTTAAGAGTGTTAGTGTTAATAGTGTAGAAGTCCCACATTGAGTGTGTCTCTTTGTATTTTTTAATTGGTTTGCTATATAATAACACCAATGTTGTGTAGTTTAATACAACAAGGATTACTATTATTTCCTCTTGTATCTATGATATTTAACATGACATAAGACATTCATAAAAAAAAAATTTGGTTCGCTTTATTATTGGGGAAGATAATAGACAAATGGCAAAACCCATTAGCGATTCAATTACAATAATAGACAAATGGGTCCCAGGTCCAAACGTATAACGATTACTTCTTGCGGGAATGACATAAGACATTCATAAAAAAAAAAAATTTGGTTCGCTTTATTGTTGGGCGAAGATAATAGACAAATGGCAAAACCCATTAGCGATTCAATTACAGCAATGTGGGGATGGAAAGAAGATTAATGATATAACACATCATCCAACATAAAAATCGAGCAACCTAGGTGCAACTCAAAAATTAAAAGACTAAACCACCCATGTATAAATTAAGAACCAAAGCTCAACTACCAGATATAATGAATTGCTATATAGGAGTACATTACAAGAGACTTAGTAACCATAACATTAAAAAGTACCATACTAAAGTGAGCTATGAAATAAAAACGAGCAAGAGTTTAATAATATAATATAAGCCAGGTAATAAAATTAACTAGAAATTGCTGGACGAATAGTAGTAGTAGAGTTCAGTTGCGGTGGTGAGCGCAGAAAGTGACCAAATAGCTAGCCTTGGTGCAAGTGGCAATGCTGGTAGGGTCATCATAGGCATAGGAATAGGCCTTGGGGCATGCGGTCTTGAAGATTTTAGAATAAGCAGTGGGCTTGCAGGCCTGTGGGCTTCCATAGGAACCAGTGCAGCAGTACTCGGGTGAGTTGAAAGCAGAGCAAGCACTCTTGCATGCCACCACGCGCTTCTTGTCATGTGACCGAACCTGCAGGCCCACCGGGCACATCATGTTGAGGTCACTCACACACCCAGCGTAGCTGCACTTCCCAGATCCCTTGAAAGGGGTAATGGAGATGGGTAGGTTGTACCCATCAACAAGGCTGACATCGTAGAAGTCTTGGTCATTACCCAGTGTGAACTCTGCTAAGGTCGCAGGCGGGGTTCCTCCGATGCCGTTGCAGAAGAGAGAACCACCGCAGTCCCCGGTGGCGCAGCGGCCTCGACCGGATGCGTCGAAGGCGCAGCCGTGTCGGCCCCAGAAGCGGCCCGACCAGAGGGCGGGGAGTTGGAGGGAGTAGGCTTTGTTAGGTGGGAGCTTGAAGCCTCCGCGGGCCAAAATGGGCTTTCCTGCGCCGGGTTGGATGCCGGGCCACACTGGGTGGGTGCACTTGTTGTATAGTATTAATGCTGCTGCTGACACCTTCACCGCTGTTGAGATCAACAAAACAACAACTCTGGTTTAGTCACATTGTTCTCTTTGGTTTCAACTTTCAAGTAAAATAAAATGCTTCTCGTGGTAGATCGTAAATATAAATTGTGTTTGTGTGTTGTGTGTGAGGGGGACAGAAAAAAAAAGAATTTTTTTTTTTTAAGTTTCTGAAAGAAAAAATGTGGGTGTGTGCAGAGTGAGTGAGTGAGTGAGTGAGTGATAGTGTGAGAGTAAGTGAAAGGAGAGTACCTGGAATGTAGGAGATGAGGAGAGTGGTGATTAAGAGGGTGATGAGAAGGGGTCTCAGCATGGAGGCCATGGATGTGTTTGACTGGAAATGTAGGACACTGAACAAAGGGAGTAGAGGAGAATGAACTTCCTGTACGTTCGATATTCTATCCCTCTTTTCTTCTTTAGTAGACGGGGGGCTTTATAGAGTTATATCTTTCAACTTTTATTTCCTTCTACTTAGTTGTTAAATTCTTGTTATTATTGGGTAAATATTTTTAATTAAGAGAAAAAGAAGAAAATAATATTGAGTCTTGTATTCTTTTATTCTTAAAGAGTTTAAGAAATTATAAAAGTACAATAATTTAATTATTTTTTATTAAACAACGTGAATTATACGGGATTTACAAATGGTAAAGCGACGATGCAAATCAACAGTGAGTGAGGGAATGGAATAGGTTGGAATGCGGGCCGTGCATAGGTTAAAAGTATAATGAGAGACAGCTTTTATAAAGTTTGAAAATATGGGCTTCTTTTTTTTTTTAACCCCACATGGAGATTATAAAGAGACAGAGAGCTGTTGGGCATATTCAAATATAATGGTGGTTTGATGGGTGTCATTTGCAAGAAACGGAAAAATGCATTTTGGTTAGGTGATTGACAGTGCTCTGGTCCCGATGACGAGAGTGTCAGAGAGGATTGTCCTCACCTCACAACAACAAATAAATGGGTACCATACACATTACACATGTTGCGAGAATCACTCGCACGACATTGTTGCAATTACACATGTTGCGAGAATCACTCGCACGACATTGTTGCTGGTTGCTGCCTTACGCCTCCGCGCCCTGCAAAATGCAAATCCCACCCACCACATTCTAAAGTTTGAAAAAAAAAAAAAATCAGATTAAAGTAAGTTTTAGCGAAATTCAAAATAAATACATATTTTATCATGGAAAATAATTATCTCATGATATATAAAATAATTATCTCACGCAATAAAAATAAAGTAGTGGGATTTACATTATTTATTTATTTTTATTTTTTTTTTACAAATGATAGGTCCCACTATCTTGTCTATGTTGCATGAGATAATTATCTCATGCAACATGAAATTAATAGATCTCTTTTATCATATATATTTTAAGGATTTGGTGTTTGTTATTTTAAATGACATAAGTTATGTCACTTTAGGAGAGAGATAGACACAGAAAAATGAAAATCATGGGAGAGAGAAAGTGAGTGGTTTTTTTTAATTTAAAATTCAAATTTTCTGTGTCTATATCTCTATTAAAATGACATATTTTTTTGTCATTTAAAATGACAAACATTTTTCCCATATTTTAAAGTGTTTGTCTACTCTCATGTTGTAGGAGAGAGCCTATCTTATGCTAAGACACAATAATGAGACTCACCACTAAAAAAAGAAAAAAAAATCAGCACACTTATCGAAGTATCTATGACATAAGATAATAGTCTCCAACGTGAGATTACTATTTTTCTATTTTAAATTTTGTTAAATTAAAACTATAATGTATTTCTAGCGTACGTACTTTACAAATATCTTTTTTCAACGTTAAAATCAACAACCCTTGAGAATCTTTTCCGACTGAACACTGTATCCGGAAGTGGAAACAGGATTTGTATCGTCTCACTGTTTGAGAACGTGGCAATATGATGTTGACATGAAAAGAAGAAAAGGGTATCATGAGTAGGGGTGCTAAAGGAATCAGGGACCTTTCAAGAGCCTTTGGCTCCTCCAATTGAAAAACTCGGTCTTAGAGTTTCTTAGACTGATCTATTATATTAATTTTTTATTTTTATTTTATTTTTTTATATAGCTTGTAATCTCTCACTCTCCAATCAATTGTGTCCCATATTATTGAATGATTTTGTTTTATATTATGTTGTTTGGATATACATTGACCTTATAAATATTTATGAAATTGCTAGTATTGTTGATTGTATATTTTGTTTGGATAAATTTTTATTGTCTTAATTTTTTTAAGGGAAAATATATTGTAACAAACAAGTTGTGTTACTACCAAGTGACTACCAATTAATCTCACCGTTAGATCGATTATGTTGATCTAACGGTTATATTTATTTCCAATCTTTGTATGGTTATAATTTCCCATATTTAAAGTGAAAGCATTAAATATAAGAAATCATAACCATACAAATATGGAAATAAATATAAAGTGTTAAATTTAAGAAATCATAACCATACAAAGATGGAAATAAATATAAAGTGTTAAATTTAAGAAATCATTACCATACAAAGATGGAAATAAATATAACCATTGGAACAACATAATCGATCTAACGGTGAGATTAATTGGTAGTCACTTGGTAGTAACACAATTTGGTTGTCACAATATCCTTCCCCTTTTTGGGTTTAAACAGGCTAACATGTTAAATCAGACTTTTATTTTTTATAAATTAGTCAGGCCACAAGCCGATGAATATATTCATAATAGATAATAAGCTTAGTCAAGCTGACACATTTAAACACAGACTTAGCCTCTTATGACCAAAGCTCGGCTCGACTCGGTCTGTTAACACCCCTAATCACGAGTCTTTTTTACTAAATTGATAAATAAAATTAATAATTTATTGACATTTTTTTATGGGAGTTACTAATTTCATGTTGTTTACAATAGTTCTCTCTTTTGTGTGAGATAAATATGTAGGGTCCACACTTTAAAACAAAAGGAGAAAAAATGGAAAAAGTTGGCACAAAATTCGATGAGTGTATAACATGAGATAGCTATCTCCAACGAAATGAAAAAAATATTTTCCTTTTTTTATATCTCTTAGTAAATAAAGTCAAATTTATTATGATTTTTTTAAAAAAAGTCAAAAAATAATTACAGGAAAAAAAATTAGACTTTGTTACTCATTAAAGTAGTATAAACAATGAACAAAAGAATACTTTAATATACAACATAAATTTTAAGTTTTTTGTTACTCATTATATTTTGCTGTAAAATTTTACCCACAACATATATCCTTTCATATCTCAAATTCCCTTGTATCGTATGATTCATCTATCAGTATCATAAAAATATTTAGTAAAAAATATTTTATAATTACTATAAAAAATTTATCCGTCAAACTTATATAAAGTGAATGGATCACATTTTAAAGAAAAAAAAATCAATAAATTCAATTACTTTTATATAAGTTTTTTTTACAGTAAAAATTGAAACATTAAATCAAACTTTTTTATCATGTAAGTAACAACAACAAATATTTTTCCAACTCAAAATTTTATACCATATTATTTGCTTCTATTGTAACTTGGAAAAAAAATTGTGAGCATCGAACGTATTTAATTAGGTATTTTTTCTTCTAAAATTAGATAATTTTTTAATATGGTGAGATAAAAAAAATTCAAAAATGATAAAAGAAAATTAAATATGAAAAAAAAGGGAGTACCTAAGGTAAATCGGTAATACCAAAGTTTACTCTGTAACTTGATATGCATCAAAGCAACCAATGAAATAGCATTCAGTAGAGTACAGTACAGAACCTCGTGTCTCGTACAATTAACTAGGAATGGCACGCGCTAAAGCAGACGCGTTCATCGCACGATCGGGTTCAGTCGGAGATATCAGCAGGTGTACGACTAGGATGGTTTGAGTACTGTAAGTGTGTTTTACTAGACGAGGCCGAAACTGCACGTGAACAGATATACATTTATTGTTTTGTCGTGTCATATCTTGGGTTGTGAGTTGTGACGCAGAGATTCAATACGTATAAACTAAAACAGATTGTACTGGAATTGTTGTCGTTTATTACGCAGGCCTACGGACAGAGACCTATGAGGCGTCAATGTATATGTATTCGTAAATGGGAGTAGATTCTTTTATGTGCTAATTAACATGATCATGTCTTGTCGAGCAATCATAAACATATATGGGTAAGTTAATGGTAACAAGGGAGGAGAGAAAAAAATATAAGGATATAAAGTTACACAATTATTATCGTTGATTTAATTATTAAGGATTAAAATTCTCACATGACATGATCATATTAAATTACACATAATAGAATCCATTTCCTTCGTAAATAACATCGGAAAAGTTTTGTCTCTCAACTCATATCTTTATTTTTTTTTTTTTGTTAACTCCCTCTCTTTATCTCTCTCTTATTCTTTTTTAAAATAACATAACTTTTCATCCTTTAAAATACACACTTTTATCAAATAACATATGGGTTAAGTTACTAAACATGGGAATTAGTTTTAGTAATTTATTAATCTCATACAATTATGGGTGGAGACTTTTCATTAATAAAAAATTAAAAATAAAAATTGTGCTATATGGGATGTATAAAAAAGAGAGTTATTCTCGAATAACATATGAATGATTTTTTGTTAGTAAATATTTTTTGGTTTATCATTTATCATTTAACATGACCACAAAAATTTTCCTACACACACAACATTTTGTGGGGCCCGCAGCAAAAAAAAAAAAAAAAAAACTCTGGCACGCAAAACGAATCTCTATAACATAACACAATCACTTTTCCTACAACATAACTCTTATAAAACCCATATTTTTTTTGGTACTAACAAACATTACGATCCTCACACTAGTTGCTATAAAAAAAATTAATGTGGAAGTCCTTAAAAAATTTAAGAGTAAACACTCTTTTTAGTCCTTGGCAATATCTACGAAGTTCTTTTCAGTCCCTGACATAAAAAATGATCAAATTGGTCCCTAAAAGTACAAGAAAAGGGCCACTCTACATATTTGGGAGTTGACATAAGGACTAACATGGCCCTTTTTTTGTAATTTCAGGGACCAATTTGATCCTTTTTTATTGCCAGAGACTAAAAAGGACTTCGTAGATATTGACAGGGACTAAAAATTGTGTTTACTCAAAATTTAAAATAAATCTATTTAGTTGAAATTATAGTCCCTCATAAATTTAAAAAATTCACATTAGTCTCTCAAAGAGACTAAAATAAGTTCACTTTGAATTTAATAGAGATCGAATGATTAATTTTTTTTACAAAAGACTAAAATATGGATAGTATTTTTTGTTAAGAACATAAATATATATATATATATATATATATAT